ATTCTTATTTAATATTAAATCTATACTAAATATTTATTATTCTTATTTAATATTAAATCTATACTAAATATCTATTAAAACTTTATTATAATTAGTACTTTTACTAATAAATATAATTATAGCTTAATTATATTAGAATCTATCTTAATATCTCTAACCTTTTTATTATTATATAAATATTTATTAGATTTATATCTAACTAGTGTTTAATATATATTTAAAATATTCTTATACTAGATCTTCTACTATAATAACTAATTATAAACTTCTAAAATTATATTTACTACTTCTATACCTACTTTATATATTTATTATTATAGTTATTATATTCAATTCTATATAGATTAATATTCTGCTTTTAGTATATTCAATTTATATTAATAATTATTTAAATAATTTATTAATATATAATAGACTTTAATATAGATGAAAGTAATAATAATTTAAATATTATTTTATAATAGATAGATAGAATTAAGAACTAGATCTAGATTATAACTAAATATAAGTCTAATATAGRTTATAATAATTATAATAGTATTTTTATTAGATAGAAAAGGGTAGTTAATATTTAGATTTAAARATATYYCTCTAGTTTAGATAGTYTAATAAATYARAATTATTACTTGATTACTTTYATTATTATTTTATTTATTAATTTATTTATTAGTTTATTTATTARTTAAATTATTTWTTAGTTTATTAGGTACATGATTAATTAGTTTATTTATTAGTTTATTAGTTTATCTATTAGTTAGAAAAACCTCGCGCACCTATGAAAACGCACCCCCCCAGGTAAAAAGTACTGCGGGAACGAATCTAAGTTATAAAAGACTCCGTAAGCAAGTAAAAAGTACTGCGGGAACGAATCCGCACCCCCCCAGGTAAAAAGTACTGCGGGAACGAATCTAAGTTATAAAAGACTCCGTAAGCAACCCATTTACCAACTTTCAGCGCCTTAATCAACGTGGTTGAGCGATGGCGCCGAAAAGTCGGAAAAAAGGGGGAGCGTGGCCAATGCCACACTTCGAGGACGACCCTAATATACGCGCATATGCAGCCTCCGCCATCAAAGAACTCAAGGCATTGAAGAAGCGCTGTGAGAATAAGCAGAATAGCATGCCAATCGACATCACCAACAACGTAGTGGCGTCGTTCTTGCACCTGGCTCGTCGGATGAAGGACGCGCTGACGAACAAGCAACTCGCACAGCAACTCGCGCGCGTGGAATTGATCATGGAAAAGACGCAGAAAGAGGTCTCATAGGCCTCTTAAGAGATCAACACGACGAAGAGCAACACCAACCGCCTCATCAAGATAATCTACCATACACCCCCAAGCTCACGCGTCAACGGCAACAAGTCGTATAGTTACGTGACGGCAAGCTCCGAATCGTACATACAGGGCTAGGGACGACGAGTGCCCTCATATCCACCAACTATCCCTAGCATAAGAGTCTCCAACAGGAATAGCTCTCTACTGACACCCTTCCCATCTCAGGAAGACCTCGAGATCTATCTTAAGCGTACCGACGCCGACACCATCAATCCCCTGAGACGATCCCTAGATAAAGTCATCCACTAGGCCAATCTAGTAATCTAATCGACACAAGATACCATAATCGCGCACCGACACCTCCTCGCTACGAGAGTGCAGCCCAGTGAGGATATCATCCTCCTTACGGCCACTGTAGACGATGTGGACCAGCTTATACACAAGAATAGCTGGATTCGCACCTTTGGAGCAGAGACTCGTATCCGGAAACGCACCTGGGGCGTGGTAGTATATAGCGTTAGCATCAATATCAACCTAAAACAGGAGATTTTTAAAACAACACTCGCCTCTTAGAATACCGCTGTATTTGCGTATATCCTAGCCCCATTCAACACCATATATATAGACTGGCTACTTAGTGAACAGAAGATCCAGGAACTGAAGCTTCCACGAGCCTATCTCATCGTGATGTTCGACAACGAGCGGGTGGCTAATCTCATGATTAAGTAAGGCCTCATTATTAACAGTTTCCAGCACGCGGTCTCTATTTATAATAAGGCCGCCAACCTCTAGTAATACTATAAATGCTAGATATATAAGCATATCACACAATACTGTCAGCACTAGATCTACTACACCTACTACGCGGGATCTTATAATATAAAGAACTGCCCTACACCTAGAGAGAAGGAATACACCAAATGCGCTAACTGCGCTGCAGAAAATGCACATATCAAAGACCTTACAAAAAAGCTAGATGAGAAGCATTTCTCTTATGCCTATAAGTATCTAATTAGAGTCTTGTACTTAGCAGAGGCTTATTAATAGCACACCCACAGCCTCTAATATCACTCTGAGGTCGCGAGACCAGGTAACCGTACTCCTAGAATTATCTCCCACAATGATCCTATACCTATAGAAGCAATAGCCCTAGCAGCTAACGAGTGTAGCCCTCACACTAAGACCTGGGTAGAGCCTCCTACACGACATTACTCAGCCCTATTATAAAGTAAGAGTATAACAGCGCGTAAGTGGACTGCCAACCCTAGAAGCCCAAATCGGCTAAATACTCAGGCCTAAAAGAAGGCGACACAGATATAGGACGATGAGAGGAATGAAGTGATGAATATTAACCTAGAACTAGAGGCTGCAGTCGATCCTCACTCGATGATCGTATACAAAGACTGTACACGGAAGAACTGCTCTAAAGCGTTAAAGATACTAACTGGTCTTATCCTCTAATCAGATATCGCCTCACTCTAAGAAGCGTAAGTGGAATCAATCCGCCCTATCCGTCATGCACGGAGCGCGCGCACCATCCTAGATGACGAGTCCAATGACGAGCTTAGCCGCTCAGACTACGATATCACTAAGCCTACTGGGAAACCTAGTGAAGAGAGTAATATAATGATAACTATAAACCTTAAAGACTCCATATGGGCCAATTCTTAATGAGGTACCACACCTACCGACTCCAAATCTTACAGGCAAACTGCTGGAAATCGCGAGATGAGGTCCAGATGTATCTCTTTGGTAAGAAAGACGTATAAGAATATAACATCCTGGCTATTCAGGAACCTTATATCAATAAATAGATAGACCCTCTAACCACGTACGCACTAGCACTCTAAAACTGTTTCTATATCCTGTTGCAGCCCACACTATAAAAAGACTATAATATCTATCTATAAGTGTGTCTCTACATCAACAAACATATCAACCCTACCATATAAGAAGTATGGTTTTATAATAGAAATCTAAGCACGCTAATCCTTTAGACTACTAATCATAGTACTATCTATATCTATAATATTTACAATCCAAGAGTATCTAGTGGCTAGGGATCTAAAATTAGGACTTTCTATAAGGTGATGACGCCTGGTGTGCAATATATTGTATTGGGAGACTTTAACCTATACTATTTACTATGAGCAGATACGCAGTATCAACATGTAGATAATAAAGTGATAGAACTCATTGATCTTATGGATGAGCACGAACTAGACTAGTTGCTCCCCCGTGGCACGATAACGTACGAGAAAAAGGAAGCTAAAACAACTATCAATCTTATCTAGGTATCTAACACTCTATCTAACTAATTGATCAGCTGCGCTGATAAATGGGAGTGATAGTACAGCGCGGATCACGTCTCTATTCTTATCTAATTCGACCTAACTCTGGTTAGCGTACCCCCTGTCATCCACAAGGACTAGAGATTATTAGACTAAGAGCTCTTTCTCAGGCTAATAGAGACGTACGACTAGTATCCCTATTAACTAGTGGATATAGGAGATATTAATAAGGCAATACACTATCTAGTTAAGATAATTTACAACACAGCGGAACAGGCCACTCCTACTAAGTAAATTATCCCTTACTCTCGCGCTGGATATATACCGGAGATAATAGAGCTCAAATACTAGGTCTTATAGTACTGGAGATATGCATATTAAACCAATACAGACTAGGCGTGGGAGGAGTATAAAGAGGCAAAGAAAGAGTTGAAAAGACGTACTAATAAGCTCATATAAGAGCTCTATTATTAATAAATTAAGAAAGCGACTAAGTCATTAAACGGCTTCTAGAAAATTACACGCTAGATTCGTAACTGAGGCGTATTATGTGCCTCCTTTACACCAATATTAATATACAATGATACTAAGTATACTGCCTTAAGGAAAAAAGCAGCGCTCTTCCGAAAAGTCCTGTATCTAGAGCCTCTAGAGGCAGACCTCTCAGACATCAGCCACTATTAATATCCGAAACCTTATAAGACGCCTCCCATTACATTAGACGAAATGCGAGTGGTGATTTATAATATGAAGCCTAATAAGGCTCCTAGCCTAGATAAGATCCTAAATCTAGTCCTCCAACGACTGCTCCCACTTATTAAGCACTATCTACTTAACTTATTTAATGCCTACCTATAGTACTACTACTATCTAGAGCACTTCTAATAGTCCACTATAGTAGTGATCTATAAGCCTGGGAAGTCTAATTATACTAATCTAAAATTATATTGACCTATAGCATTACTAAGCACTATAGAGAAAGCACTTAAATCTATAATTATACAACGGCTAAGCTATCTAATGGAGCGTTATTACCTGTTACTAAAGTATTATATAGAGAGATAATAAGGTCACTCCTATAAGCTTATAATCTATCTCCTACTAAAAGAAACTCACAACGCCTAAAGGGATAATCTCTGAGTAACCTCTAGTCTTATAATAAACATCACTAGTGCTTTTAATAATGTGAACCACACGAGATTTATCTATAATTTATAAAAGCGCCAGATCTCTGACATGCTAGTGGGCTGGATTACAAGCTTTCTTAGCAGCCGCCGTACGTCAATCATACTATTAGAGGGTAATATGGGGGAATACATAGTTAATACAGGTATCCTCTAGGGGTCCCTACTGTCACTAATCCTGTTCCTATTCTTTAACGCGGATCTTATTGAGCAGATACGAGCCGAGTGCCCAGAGGTGCTTATTATTGGATACGTAGACAACATCTTTCTGATGGCACTCGGGAGTTCTGCGGCAGCTAATTGCCGCACACTCACCCAGACGCATCAGGTCGCAGAGCGCTAGAAGAGAATACACGCCTCTAAGTTCAACCCAGCTAAATATCAGTTGGCGCACTTCTAGCGGAAGCATTAATCGGTGCCAAAACCAAGGGGTCAACTCGACGTGCCCCTGGTCGTTAAAGGACGAGAAATCAAAGTTAAGGACTCTATTAAGTATCTTAGAGTCCTCCTAGATACCCACCTAACGAGGGAGGCCCACGTACAAGAGATAAGAAAGAAGGCTGCGAAGTTAGTAGCAGAATTAGCTTCAATAGCAGGCTTAATCTAGGGAATACCAACGACATATCTCCGGAAGATGTACACCGCCGTGCTCTAACCGCAGATCATATACACATATTCTATGTGGTATATCCATAATAGGAGAGGCTTTATGAAGTTATAGTAAAAAGCAGAGAAAGTAATATAGTCTATCTATGCCCAAGCGCTATATTAGATATCTAGCGTGTTTAAGCGTACGTCACGATAGGCCCTAGAGATCTACCTCTATATCCCGCTATCTGAGTTGACGCTCGTAAGACTGTTAGAGAAGGCATGCCTCCAGTTAATAACCTTATCACTACAATTAACACTACAGACTATATGGAATTAAACTCCCTATAATAACCCCTTTACATCCCCACTACACCGACTGGAGATGTTTGTAGAATAGAAACTTAGACGCGGTATATACTAGTATATCGAGATGATCCATCTATTCATAGTACTTCTATAGTAGAAGCTACTAGAGATGAGGATTAATAAGATAAGAGAGAAAGCTATCTATACACAGACTACTATAATAATAGATATTCAACTCTTTACAGATAGGAGCAGATACAACCACGGGATTGGAGTAACAGCGTATTTACTAATATTAGGTGTGGCTGCGTGAGCAGTTAGCTTATTAGAAACACACACCGTCTACATAGGTGAGCTGGAGGGGATTAATATAGCGCTAAGCTTCCTAATCTATAACCAAGACTATAATAAGATCTATAAAGCTATAATCTATACTGATAACTAAGTAGCGATCCACGCTACATACTATTCCTAATAGTCCTCTAGGCAGTACATCCTTCGTCAAATCGTATATTAGTTGGACCTACTATAGGACCCTTAATCTCACTGGCAAGTACGATTACAGTAGATGCCTAGACACAAAAATATTTCTAGCAACAAAGAAGCAGACTAGTTGACA